ATAATTAAAGTTTTCACCATGCATTTAACTTTTATCCAGAATCAGGATTTTAGTTTTCTAGGAAACATTAGCGAATGAAAAAAAGGCTATATATACAATGTTTGAATTTTTAGATTCAGCTGCACAATTCTTCTTCGCACTGAAAATCAGAAATTTGAAAGCTATATTTCTTGGCTTCTTATGGAACTTTTTAATGGTAAATTGAATGTGGTTTCTTATTTTTTATTTTATTTTTGTATCATAGAATTTTATGTAAATCTGTTAGATTTGAAGGGACTGCACTTTAGACCATTTAATATCCTATTAGATTAACGAGGGCCCAGCAGAGATCGGTATGCTTTTCATACAAGGCCAGTTACTGTTAAATCATGAGACTTGAATGTTAATATTGCCATGGCCTCTAGCAGAAGAAGAATTAAACAGCACTCAGTTATTCTTTAAATGTGACACAAAATAAATGCATTTTATCCACTAGTTGAAAGAAATTTTCATTTAACAGTAATTGAGGATATTATGGTTACTTTTAGTATGATTAGGTTGCCCTTTGTGGTAATAGTCATGTTTGCCTATCTTCTTCAGTACGTATCTTGTTAACATATTGTACATGTGGGTTTAGTTTTTGCTTACATTTGAAAACCATTCATAATCAGTTGGCTAATACCAATTATAGTTGTATTATATGTGTTGGAGGACTTAAATATTTAAGTTACACCCTCTCTAACAACTTAAGCTTTTAGAATAGATGGTTGTTAACATGGTATCAGAGTAGGGTAGGTCGTGTTGAAATCTCACCGTCACCCTTATTTAAAATTGAAACACGTGTTGGACCAAAAGAAGGCCACACATGAGGGTTTAAGCTTTTAAATTAGATGGTTGTTAACAGGATTCTTGTTTTATATCTTGATCATGTTGCACCTTCAATGATGGTACATGGCCGAACCATATCAGCTGAGCATGCTTACACATTACAAATCATATATATGGTCGAGAGAATCATCACTATCCACCCACACACGCACAAAGGGATTAAAAGGTGGTGTCACCGACATTGGTGAATTTAGAGCTGTATATAGAGTTTTTTGGTAAATTATATTGAGATGCCTTCTGAATGGTTTAGTAATTTTTATTTAAATTTGCCTGTCCTTTCTCTGCAACGGATAGTATGGAATTTTTTATTTTTTGTTGCATCTACAGACAACCTCAAGGCGTCTTGCAGATCGGAAGGTGGAGAGGTTTGAGAAGAACATCAAGAAGAGGGGTGCAGTGCCTGAGACGACAACAAAGAAAGGAAATTCTTACCCAGTTGGGCCTCTTTTGCTTGGGTTCTTCATGTTTGTTGTCATTGGATCCTGTGAGTTCCTTTCTTGGGTTATTGGTGCTAATATTATTCAATTGGAACTTTTACGGAGGAAACTGCATTACCTTTTTTTTTTTTTTTTCAATATCTTGATTTCCTAAAGCTAATAATACACATTAAACAAACTTGTGCTTCTTTAAATCATAAATATAGGCAGATCCGTTTTCTGTTAGATAAGGAGGAAGACATTATTTTGTGCTGCTTTCCCTCTGACCAAGAATTGGAACGCATTCATGCACAACTTTATTCCTCACTAAGCCGGGGTTTAATTCGATTCAACAAAATATCCGTTAATGAATAGCTATAACTCTGCTTGGATGGGGAGGAGGTGGAATTCTGTGAATTGTTCTCTGATGTGCGAACAGTTTGTGTCAACTTCTAAAGGAGCTATGTTGATTCCTTGGCAGATATTACATTTGAGTTTGTTCTGCTAATGTAAAAATATGATATATATATATATATATATATATAAAATAAAAACAGAGTTCACAGCCCTTGTTCTAAGCTCTCCTGAGAATGATTAGAATGTTAATCCAGCATTGGATTGGCTGTTTCGTTGGGCGTCCTTGGGTAGTTGTAAAATTGGGTGCGAAGGACTACTTCATTGACAATAGGACAAAGGGGAGTGTATGGTCTCCTCACATGGATGCTTCTTAGTAGCCAAAGATGCTCAATGTTTTTGCTAAACTAAAAACCAAAATAAAAGCATCTATTTTGTTTGTTGTAGTTTTGCTCTTATCTGTCTTCTCTTTTTTTTTTTTTTTTTGCTGCTGATTTCAATTTCTTCTTTTCCGTTGTGCCAGCTTTGTTTCAGATAATCCGAACTGCCACAAGTGGAGGCATGGCTTAAATTATTTTCAGTAGTAGTGAGCTTGGGCAGCAGCAGGCTTGCGATGGTCTCCTCTGTTGTATTTGTTATTGTTAATTGTTACTTTTGTGCACTGTTAGTCTGAACTGAAAATCCCCTTGTATAACAAAACGAATATATGATTTTGGACTTGGGGTATTTTTAGTGACTAGAAGAGCCTAAATAATTATAAAGATGAACTTAGTCTTCTATGCTTGGGTCCTCTCTGCAATTTCGCAGTTCTTATGGTTTTTGGCTAAGCATGCATTCGTCTTTCTTGCTGAATTCATTGTTGCTCGTTTCTGCCAATGTACTTGATGACGGTAAGTTTGCATATGAATGGGTGGTAGGCAACCATTCCGAACCAATACACAGCCTAACTTGAAATCCCGAACCCGGTAGGAATAGGATCCCTTCCCTTGGAAGAGGGGTCGGAGAAGTTTATTGTTTGTTGTAAAAAAGCACGTTCTAATGGCGCTCTGAAAATTCTATTATGGTAGAATGCATTCTTGTGCCAAATATTAACACGAGGGATTTCATGTGTTTGTCCTTATGACCCGATATTTTTCCGTCCGGTTTTTCTCGTTTTAGAGCTTCTATTATAATATTTTGTTTGGGTGACTTCATGTGAGTAATGCTTTTGTGTCACATCTTTTCTTGTGTCGGATTTGTGCTTTTACCTCACTTATTCGATAGCTCACATAGCTTATGCGACGATTACATTCGTTATTTTATGATGTTGTACTTTGTCACGAGACTCGTCACTTGTCACTCTGGACTATGTAGTGTCCTTCGGACTATATGGTGTTTAGGAGATTCCCAATTTATTAGGCTACCCATGCGGACTAAAGTATTGCATTCTCGATGCAATATCTTAATATGTATATTGCATATTCGATGTAAATGTATTGTATGGGTTTTATATTATTGTTGCATCTTTGAGTGCATGATTGATATAATGTATCACATTGTCAATTTAGAGTTGCCAAGACTCAAGAGAGTAGAATGACTGACCTAGCTAAAACCACTAGAGCCCAGAAATAAAGTGACGGGCCTAGTTAAAACCACTAGGCCCAAGATTAGGATGAAGAATAACAGAGGGACCCTACCTAAATATATATATATATATATATATATATATTTTTTTTTTTTTTGTTTTTTTTTTTTGGGTCTGGCATTGGTTAGGAGTTAGTGGGAAGGGGGAATCCAATCTAGGATTAATAAGGGGGCACTAAAAGCCTCGTTATACCTAAAATTAGATCATTCGGGACTTAATAATCGGTAAAACATTCAATTTTATATTGAATTGTCTTTGTTTTGTGTTGGACTATTGTCATCAGACTCTTTGGGATCGCAGATTGATAAATGAAATGTATGTGAAATTTCTCAAGATAAAGGTATATGTTCGAGAGAGTAGTGATTCGGACTCTGAAAATTTCTAAGGTGAGGAGCAAAATGGGGTGACTAATTCATGCTCTTGTACTCTATAGATTCAAATGGTATTACGAGAATAAATGAACTTACTATATTTATTTATTCAAAACTTTATGAGTTTAAATGAAAAATTAGATACAAAATGAAACATTTGATCATGATTTAATGAGATAAAAATGATTTACTCACGCTGAAAAAACAAGGGAAAAATGTGTGACTTAACATGTAGCTAGCTACTTTAGTCAGCCAACAACATAGCCCGAGTGTATCAATCCCAAAACCATCCTCCAATTGTTATATCAACCCGAAAAAATTTCTCTTGAGAGCATTACTCAGAGTTCAATATGTTTGTGCTTTGTCTTCATGAACTACTTGGTTTGGTTAGAGGAAAGTGGTAGAGAAAATGTTGTCTTTTTGTGAATGGTAAGGGTGTTCATTTGATTCGCTAATCTTTGAATCCCATCTAATTAATTTGATTTGTGGTCAGTAGATGTTTTTAAGCCTATTGGTTCAGTTATGGATTTACAAATTAGGAATCTGTAGATATTGATTCGGTTAATGAATTATGGGTTCAAAAAATCGATTTGATCTGTATAATATATAACCAATTGGATTCAATCCATATAATATATAAAAATATTATATATATATTTTACTTTTTTTCTTTTAAATTGAAACACTAAACCTAACCCATTTCCTGCTTGTGTGTAACAAATTGAAAGATACTGTGTTGTCTACGGCTTGTTTGTAACACATTGAGAATTATGGGTAACTAATTCATAGTAAAGTCATTTGTAACTGCATCAAAAGAAATGGTCTCGTTCAGGGGTAGTCTACGTGTAGTCTACATATGTGTCTCAAATTTGTGAAATGCCAAATGTGGATATAGCATTTTGGGTTGTTGAGATAGCCATATGTTAGAGGTTCATCCCAGGTTGAATTCGAATGAAGATAGAATTTCATATAATCAACAATTTAAAATTTTTTAGGTTAGTTTGGCAATGATTTTCGTTCTGTGATTTTGCTTTGGTCTAAAACAGAAACAATTTATTTTGGTAACTTATATTTGTTAGAAGATTTTTGAAAGTAAAAATATGATAACAGTGTTTGATAAAAAACTGTTGCAAGTTAAAAAAATAATTAACTAATTTTTTTTTTAACATTTTGATCTCATTTTTAGAAACCCTTTGGTAATATTTTAAATTGCCACAGACGTTACCAATGCCTCCCTTCAAGGAAGTATCTCTCTTATCTTCGTCAAGGGTACTTTTGTCATATGAAAATCCATCTTCCAGTTTTGACTTTTATTTTTTATTTTTATTTATTTATTTATTTATGAATGCTGAATTTTTGACCTTAACGCGTCTTCCATTTCTCTCACATATCCATTTTTATATATATCCGTGCATTGTTTGAGTAATTTTGTCGCAGCAGAGCAGAGAAATGGATGCACTTGATTCAGTCGTCGATCCACTGAGAGATTTTGCTAAGAACAGCCAACGACTCGTCAAGAAATGCCACAAGCCTGATCGTAAAGGTAATATACATATATATACACACATCTATATGTATACATGTCGATTTATATATAAATTGAATCTGCTGAATCGAAGTTTCAAAATTCGCCATCAGCTAGTTATTGGATTAGTGGTATATACACTGCAATCCACAGTGGTAGCTCCAACCGCCTATAGGGTTTTGGGGATTTGGGGAAAGCCAGTCTATGGGTTGAGCTTAGTTGAAAACCACGAAAAAGAAAAATGAAAAAGGAATATCAAAATTTAAGCTTTGCTAACTTGTGATTTGCATTGATGTGGTGTAGAATTCACGAAGGTTGCGTTCCAAACCGCAATAGGTTTTGTGGTGATGGGATTTGTTGGATTTTTCGTGAAGCTGGTTTTCATCCCCATCAACAATATCATCGTTGGTTCTGCTTAGGTACGCCAATTGAATCTGTACTGTTGTTATTGGGTTTTGAATTTCTTTACTAGTTTTAGTCAAAATGGCATGCTTATTGGAACATTTTTTTCGGATCAGATCTTGTAATTGTAGTACTATTTGTGTAATTGAAGGTGTTTGATCTAGTTCATAACAATATTTGGGTTATTTTGTATTATCTTCCAATAGATCACCACTGATTTCCTTTGATTTGTAATTGCAATCTTAGAACTAATAGGATCAAAACATAGGCTTTGAATCAAATTTCAAAACCTTTTGGTTTGCTATCCTTCCAAATAATGTCTATAATCTAGATATTGTGTGTTATGTTTGTATGAACAGTTCTATTTGATCACTTTGAATCAACTTTCTTAGATGAGGTTGTAATTGTATTTTCAAATGTTAATAGTCATGAAACGCTCAAGTTTGTAACTTTTGGTGTTGTCTCTCTTTCTTTTTATAATATTGATTACTTTATAAATCTCGTCTTAAATAAAATAAAATTTCAAATTCTATTAAAATAAGAACTTGAAGGAACACAAATTTAGATATAACAGTTCTGTTTTAGAAGAACACTACATCCTGTTCATATCAGCATTAGATGCTCAGTAGAAAGAAAAGGAAAAAAAATGGAGTATCAAAGTGTGTTATTTTTTATTATACACATTAGGATTGTAGTTGTTATGATCAATTGTTTTGCTGGTCATATTATATTGATTCGGTTGTGGTACACCCTTATATATAATTGGGAAATAAATCCAAAAGTGGGAGCTATAAAAATATGAACTTAGACCCTGGTGCGACATTTGATTTTTGATACCCTATTCTTACCACATATCTGTTAGGTCTAATGGTTGTTAAGAAGTGTATTCTTCCATCTTTATTTCTCTGCATCTTAAGTCATTGTATGTTACTCGTAAAGATGGACAAGAATTTGAAATATTCTCAGTCAAAGGTATAGACACCGAAAAAGATTATCAGCAGCCTCCTTTCTTTGTTATATATAAGCAACAAGAGCCATGTTCATTCCAATTTCTCAGTTTGTAGTATCATAAATGATATTATTGGCTGGTCAAATATGGGTCTCTGCCTAAGAAGCACGGACACGGATACGACACGACACGGACACGGCGAATAGTGTATATATATATATATATATATATATCAGCATTAATAATTTTAAAAAAAAAGCAATGATATGTTTAGGTTGGAATATATATATATATATATATATATATATATCACTGATATGTTAGTATATATATATATATCAGCATCTTTAGGACACGGACACGGCAAATTGTGGCATCTTTAGGTTAGTATATATATATATATCAGCATCTTTAGGGTAGTACAAAACAAAAAATAGAACATATCAGCATTAAAATTTTTTTAAAAAAAAAAAAAATTAACATAGCAGCATTAAAAAAAAAAAAAAAAAAAAAAAAAAAAAAAAATTCCAGAAAAGTGTGTCCGAGCTGTCTGAGCCGTGTCCGAAAATTAAAAAAAATAAAAAATTCCAGACACGTTTTTTGGTGTGTCCGTGTCGGACACGGATTCTTCGCCCATTTTGGAGTGTCCGTGCTTCCTAGGTCTCTGCAATATACATCTCATTAGGGCATAAGGTTTGATGCAATCTATCCTTCAACTATTGTACCTCCTCTTCTGGTGAAATAAAGTTTACCTTTAATAAATAACTTTTAAAAAAAAATCAATAAAAGAAAACCTTTTGGATGTTCAAATGTACAAACATTAGTCTTCTCTGTTGTAGAAAATTGACCAAGCAAAATAAGTGAAACTTCACAGTAATATTGCAACTTGTGGAATGTAGACTGCTCGGCAAATCTATAATATTAAAAAATAAATGTATGAATGTATTGAAAATACTTGAGAATCCTGCACTACAATAAACTATTTCGACAACTAAATCCCAAATATAAGCTTTTTGAGGATAGTAAGTGCTCCTAAGGAGAGGTGAGGGGTTCATGTCCCATAGTGGGCACATGTGGGTGTCTGTGAGTATTTACCTAACCAAAAAAAAAAAAAAAAGTGCTACTAAACTCTAATTGGAAAAAAATCTAATATAGGTTCAGCTAGGAGGGGAAGAAAATTCTTTTGCATTCACACCTTTTCCTAATTCTGGTTCGCATTCACTTTGTGCCCTTAAAGGAGAGGAGTCAATATTATGTCTCCTTTATGTCAACATTCACAGATTTTACTGATTCTGGTTCGCGTTCTTTTGGTTTTTAAGAAAAGGGATCTCTAAGAGTTTCTCTTTGATGAAGTGGGTCTTAAGTCCATTAGATTTATGTAGTATCACTGGTCTAACAGTGGAATTATGCGAGATTTTGCGCCAAGTGTTAGTCTATGTATCAGTATCAAATGACCAACGTAAAACTTTGGTATACATCTGATAGATGGTGGTAATTTGGAAAGTATTAAAAAAGAAAAAGAAAAAAAAGAAAGAAAGAATGGGATTAGAGAATAGAAATATTATTCTATTAGATAGTTCAAGATGGGTTTATAATTGTTTTGAAGTCATATGCAGATCACCTGAATTTTTTTTTAATCCTTGCTACATTTCACAATTCTTTTGGCAATTAGTAAAATTGAAGGGTACACTTCTTTTTTATCGAGAATATGATCCATTGTCATCAAATCATGTTTATAAATATACATATCTACACGCACATGCTTACATTTTTCTCTATGCGATAAAGATAGATTGTGACTATACGGTTTCTAAATTGCAGAATTCACGTTATTGTTATAGAATATTGGATTCTTAAAAGGAAAACTTTTTGTTGTATATATAATGTTTAATGAAAAATTGTTGTTGTATATAATATAGTATTTATGTGTAAAAATATTGATTTTATTGTCATGTCCACATCATGAAAATTAAGATTTTCCCTGTTGGCTTGTATGTGTTATATTGTGTGTCTGTCTATGCTACTACTTGGCACTTTAATAAAAAGCATTAAATTGACATAGATTAGTAACCATATGGTAGTTATAGACAAATAAAACGAGATATTGTTGGTTTGTTCAATTAGTATATTGTACTGTTAAAAATCAATCAGAAATCAATTATAGCTGCGTTTGTATTCTTTGATTAATTGTGGTATAACTATAATTTTGTCACACATCCAAAAATAAAAATTTAATATGAGGTTTTAGTATGGTGTAGAAGTTTGTTGTTTATTGAATTTAGGTTCCTTTTATCGTCAAATCATCATAGTGAATAGCACTGGGAATTCTTTGAACAAGCCTATCATTGTTAATGGTGCAGCAATTGGCATTTTATTTCAGTAAGATATAAAGTGATGGAGAAAAAAAGACGGTTTTTCTTAATAGGCGTGGAATTCTTTTTCGCTGCTGTTTATTCGACATTTCAACCTTAAATTTACTGGCTCATGTTTTGTGTCATAACTGTTTCAACATTTTGGATTAAAACTGTGGCTGAGTTGATCTTCTATATAAAATTGCAGATTATGTGGAGGGTAAAAGTTTTAACAGGATGGCAACGGTCTGCCCAACCGAAATTTTAAAGGAAAGCTTAGTGCTAACATCCTTTAGTGCTAAATTTTAATTTTGAAACTAAATTTTTGTGGCTTTTTCAATCTATGTTCCTGTTTCATAATTGCTGATGTAAAATACTCTTAATCATTCTGTTAAATTAGTTGGCCAATTTTTTTAACTTCCTTGTTACCTTTTTGAGGTTGATAAGCATCATGTTGCTATTAATTTCTGGTTGGCTCTAAATACTTTGATCTAAAAGTTCCCCTAGGCAACACGCACCATCCCAGGCTTCATACCCGGAAGTCTTGACCAGGGTTTTGCTGTATCCTCTCGAGTTAGGAAGTTGAGTATTGACTTGACTAAGTTGCAGGAACTTATCACTACTAGATGTTTGATTCTGATTTGCTTGAGTCAAATCTTGAGGTCGATATACTCTTTACAAGAAGCATGTCAAAGAATTAGATCAAGATAATTTGTCTGACTTAGTTTTTATACATAGATGAGTTATTTTGACTATCCCTGGTAGTTTAGAAATATTATAGAATGGATATCAGATTAGACTGAACAATGATAATGATGCAACTTGTTGACTTCGATAAACTACTTTTCATTGGAAAGGAAATCTGGCAAATCTCACATAATCTTTGTTTTGTGGAGTGGCCTTTATATGCATAATAACACCAATGGACATTAATCCAAATGGGGTATGTATACGTTTGCTTGACTTTTGGAAAACGACAAGTATAGTGCCCCTGTCACTGCCATTACTGGGCAAGTCCCAAGATGAGTGCTCGGGACCGACACATTTCAAGGGACACCAACTGTTGTGGGTTATACGGTCCCTCAAGTAATACATTGCTCAATGGGAGGATCAGTTGTGTTCTAGTTGGGCACATTCATATTTGAGTGACCAATGAAAAGAGAATAAGATATTGCCAAACATGTTGAAGTTTGCAGAAGCTTGTGAGCTTCCTCCAACCAGTGTGACCAAGAAGGGAGATCTTAGGGCTGCAGTGTAAAGCACAATGTTCGAGATTTTTTAAAACTTAGGAGTTTGTGTTTTTTCCCCATATAGAGGGGGAGGTTAATATTGTTGTACACAAAGCAAACAATATTGGTGAATAGGTATTTGTAAATGGTACAGTGAACCGATTGGGAATGAGTTAGTCTTTAGGTGGTTGGTGGACATAGTCTTTGATGGCAAGATACATGTAGAGAGAGAGAGAGACAAAAGAAACAAAGAAGAGATGGACAAGAGAGAGAGTTGAGAGAACTGTCGATCATATAGGAGAGAGAAAAATGTGAAGACATATTGGGGGGTAATTCAAAGTTATTTTTTTACATTTTATTTCTGAATAAATATAGGTGGAGCACAGCACCAATAGCAACTCCCAATATTAAGACAAGATTTTCTAACATTAATTTTGTTGTTTATGAATGTTTTACCTGACTGTTTTCTATAGTTTAGTTTGAATGTTGAGTGACTTCACTGGTTCCTTTATTAGGGGTGAAGAAGGTAACTCGAACATTTTCTTGGTTTCATGATTTTATAAGTACTCTATTTTTTCTGCATGACAAGTAGTTTCAAATTCTTCTTCTAGTTTTTCTAAAATTTATTCTTCTCTGGTTTTGAAGTTCTATTTCCTTCATATTTCCTATGTCATTTCTTTCGGATGCTGATTTTCGACCTTGGTTAAATGTTTTTATTATTTTTATTGGCTTGATTGTTATAGTGGGAGTTAGGTTTTCTAAGTTTATTTGCTTTTGTCCATTTTCCTAGAGGGGTTCCTCGGGAATTTTCTCTTTTTCTTTTTTAACAAGACTTAACAAAATTTTTTTTAACTCCTTTATATTTTTATTAAGATTGCCCATTTGTTGTTCAATCTTATGTAAGGATTCACTATTTTCTATTATTGCTGCTATGAACCAATTATTCTGGTTTATGACTAATTGAGAAATTTCAAAGAGTTTTCTCTAATCTCTATAACCTTCCGTAGCATGATTATTCTAAGATTGTAACCTTTTATCTATTTGTTCTTAGAAATTATTTATAATCTTTAGATAATCTTTTGAATTAATGGTTTAGTTTTACTTTGAATAGGAAAAATAGTTTTGGCTAATGAGTTGATTTGGATCAATTTTTAAAGTTTTGACTATCTTTTTCGATTTCTAGTTTTTGTTTTAAGTTTACCTGGCCACTTAAATTTTTATCACTATTTTTTAGAGCTTTTAATATGACTAATTGAGCACTAGCTGAATATTTTTCTTGATTTTTCAAGATTTGGTGTAGCTTCTTTTCTAGGTTTGTAATTGTAGAGTTATCGAAGTCTTGACTTGTGGAATCAAATTTCTTGTTTTGATTTAATGTTTCTTAAATTTGATTTTTCTTCTAAATTTAACTTGATTAAATACAGCTTTCTAACCCGCACAGGTTGCCCTCATCTCCTGTTTAAATGATGTGAGCTTTCTAACCCGCACGTTAGGCTGATTATTTTATTTTATTTTATTTTTTATTTTTTTAACTTTCTACATAGTTTTTTTCCTCTCATTTTTGACTAAACTGATTGAGAAATGTTGGTTTGATTCTGAATTAACCATTTTGTGTTAAGAACTTTGTATATATTATGAAGTTAAGGGTGTCACAAAAAGTTTGGATTGTATGAGGTTAGTTTGAAGTCATGTATATGTATTTTGGCACAAGTTATCTCATATTCGTATAACTGTTATAAATGGGTTAGTCTCAGTTTTTCTTAGGTGCTTCCAAGATGGAAAATAAGGTTTTAAGAAAACTTTCAAATAATAATGTTGGCTTCTTTACTATTTTTCTCGAGCTGGCTTCTTATTAACGTGTTTCTTAGAATTAGGGTTTAATTAAAATTTGTGAAGCTAACGTCTCGTACGCTACTTTGGAACCATCAAATTTTGAAAGGAAATAAGATTTGATTTTTTAACTTACCAAAATTATTTTATTACAAATCTTTTTCACATCTCTCTCACCCTATATAAACCGCTTTTATAGCTCTCATAAAATGTTATAAAAATTATTTTTTTGTCTAACACCTTTCTACAAATTCTAATTTTTCTATTTTTTTTTAATTTTTATTTTTAAAGTTATTTTACAATGTCGGGTTTCTAATTTGATTTATTTATTTTTTTAATTTTTTCACACCCACTACTCACACACCCATTTTGTTCTTTGGAGTCTCAAATTCTCACTATTCACTTTGAAAGGTAAAGGAAATACCACTAGACATCTGATTAGATATCAACCACCAATAATTATTAAACCAATAATTCCTTAATAAGGACTTTGATCAAACTAGCCTTTAATTTATGTAGTTATAAGATCCCAATTGACCGGGTTTAATAATAATAAAGCTAATTAAAATCAGAAAAAAAATAAATAAAAAATTAATAGATTTCCAAAGTAAGAAAATAATAATTAAAAAAAAAACTGACTAATATAAATTTAAAATAATATTAATTTTTTAACATACAAATTCTAATTTATTATTTATAACTACCACTTACTAATAGAGAGACTATCAAGGCATATAAAGCATATAAATAAATTATAAACCAAATCCTCTTCCCATTCCAATTTTAATTTCCAAAAGAATATAACTACCGGTATATATATATATCTTCAAGTGGTTTATTTTCGCAACAAATTTCTACATAATTCTCCAGAAATAGAAGAGACCCACAAGGCTCTCTTTGCATAATTTCTCATCACTTCTTCAGTCCTATATTTCAACTTAGGTTTTTTTTAGCAATTTGGGAGTTGGAATTAAAGTTCAATTCTTGCCTAAAGCGTTATCGCCTTTCTTTTTTTATGACACCATATGCACTAATATGCGGACACATCAAATTCTAAAAGTAGTAGGACACAATGTTAATATATATAAAAAATTTCGTATCGAGTGAGACAATCATATAACTTACATTAATTTATAAATTCTATTGTAAAGTTATTATAAGATGTGGCTATTTGAATATCAAAATAAATATCTCATATTATATATGATATTACCATCCTCCTATCTTGTCATTATAGTAATGTTTTATTCCTTAAAAGTTGACCACTTCAAATTATGTTCATTATGTTTTTTCAGGACTGCCATAGAGTTGTTTTATATAAGACAAATAATGTAGGATATGTTGGTCGAATGTTCGGAATTTGTCAAACCGACTAAGTGTTCAAAATAATAAATTGTTGTTGCAAATAATGGACATGATCATAAAATATCAGACACGTATTTAGGAGTGCCTATGAAGTGTCGGTGTCCAAGATGACACCTCATAGAAGTGTCTAGGCTTGCTAGCTTGTTTTCTCCTTGTTTTTTTGGGACCTATTTTTATCATGTTGGTGTTGAATTCAATTTATACTGCTTCTCCTCACTCCCACTGACTCTCTATGTGTGGTTTGCAATTTTTTTTTTTTTTTGTTTTTTTTAGTTGGTACTCTCGTACACATGCCTTCACCGAGATTCGAACTCCTTACCTCCCTTTGAAAAATAGGGGCTTGGTACCGCTACGTGTTGGTGTTTGCAATAATCAGTGTAAAGAGAGGAGTAATCATTTGGAAGATCGGATTAGTCAGTTGCCTGATGATATTCTTATTTGCATCCTGTCTTTCTTGACAATGAAAGAGGCAGCAGCAACTAGTGTACTCTTCAGTACATGGAAAGAGTTGTGGACATATTCAACTGGTACTTTTAATTTTGATGGATTGAAGTTATTGTGGAAAGTCCAAAGGGAAAAAAATTGGAGGAACCATTTAGTAGTGGAGGGGTAACTACATAAGTTGGGTGAATCGGGGTCTTGAACTCACACGAGGGTGCAACCATGGATGAACTCCGAGTTCATTTTGATTTGGATTCTAGTTTAACATGTTATATCGATAATTGGGTTCACTATGCATTCCAGAAGAGAGTTAAAAGGCTTGAGTTGAATCTTGAACGATTATATACTATAATGCCGGAAGGGCGATATAGTTTACCTCTGCAGTCACGGGATTTTTCAAGACTTGAATCTCTAACTGCAATTCGTTTTACTTTTGTAGATGTGACTGCAGAATGTCTTGAATGCTTTTTTATCAAGCTGTCCATTTCTTGAAGAATTATCTGTTGATAACTCGCCGTGTCTAAAAAATGTTCTCAAAGTTTATGGTCAATC